GAGGGAGAATGCAAGGAGAATCCTCTCTCTGAAGCTTAAAGACACAGTTTGTAATGGAAAAGTACCAAATGCTGAAAAGGATAAGGAAAACAGAGGAAGTGCAAGCTGACAGTATAAACTGCCATTAGCTTAGGTAAGGCCTTAGAATCTGTCACTGCACTCAGAACATTTCCCCTTACCTGTTTTGCTTTGTGATCTAAAGTTGGTTATTTAGAAGAGACTTTCCTATGTGAAACAGCTGTATTTTGTTATATTTAGCTTTTGAAACTCATGTTACCATTTTTGTAGTAGCCTATATAAAGGCAGAGAGATAAAATAAAAACTCTTGTAAGGCAGGGGGATGAGGGGGATAAAAGATTGAATGCTCTCTGGTTATGTTTCAAATGCCTGGTGGGAGTGTGCAGCTTTTGTTCGAAGCTTGAGAATAAGGATCACTGTCATAAGTGATAACAAAAATATTTTGACAAATCCATGAACAACAAAAAGAGAGACATGGAGAATCTCTCTCCTTTATTGGATGTGGGGGGTGAAAAATATGGCCACCACGGATGCCATCTTTGCCTCAGTCTTTTATAACCAGATCAGTTTTCCTCAGGGTATCCAGCCCCCAGAGCTGGAAGACAGGGATGGTGAGAATACACCCCCCATAATCCAGGAGGAAGCAGTTAACGACCTGCTTTGCCACCTGGACACTCACGGGTCTACAGGGCCTGGTGGGGCCCACCCAAGAGTGCTGAGGGTGGAGGAGCCAAGCCACTCTCCATCATTCATCAGCAGTCCTGGTTAACTGGGCAGGTCCCAGTGGTGGAGCCACCATCCCTGGAGGTGGTCAAAAATTGTGTAGATGTGGCACTTCGGGACATGGTTTAGTGGTGGTGGTAGTGTCAGGTAGATGGTTGGGCTTGATTTTAGAGGTCTTTTCCAACCTTAATGATTCCACGATCTTAAAGATACTGCCAATTAAGAGGAAAGGAAGCTGCGGACTGATTACAGATTCCGAGATGCACTGGAAGAGAATCCACAAGCAGGTGTGTATGCATCCTGGATAGACAGGAGACAAGTTTGGGAAGACACTGGAGCTGACAATCAGAAGGTAAGATTACTTACCAGTAACCAGAAGTTTTAAGAGGTGTTGTCCAGAGATGCTTCCATGCTATGCTTCTCTCACACGCTGTGTAGTTTCACACTCCTCTTCCACCAAAGCAATATTTACAAGATACACTTAACGTATTAGTAAGTCACTAGCATATGTCATACAGCTCACCAGTAGCTCAGAGAGCTATCCAAGGGCTTTCAGAAGAAGAGGAAAGTCATGATGTACATAGGAGCAATAATTTTAAAGAATATCCGTATCTGGTAACTTCCTTCATCTTATTTGTATTGCAGGCAAAATCAAGCCACTGCTTAACATCTAACTCCTCTGCTCCAACTCTGATTCCACATCCTCAGGTTCTACAAGAGGCTGTCCCAAAATCTTTCATTAGAACAACAGATGGATCACAACTGTTAATGTATTATGTACTCTTCCCATATTTACATTGCCTGGTTCAGTTACCTCAGAGTACAGATTATAAACAGAAAAGAAGATTTGTAAAATTAACCCTTGCAGACTGTTACAGTCTTAATCAGTACCAAGAAAAGGAAGGAGATGATGGGTTGAAAAGAAGTGAAATCTTCAGACCGGGGACATTATTTGTTACTTTTCATCCAGTACTGAGAGAAAAAAGATTATTGTGTCCTGTGTAACCTTTTGAAGTCTCTGTGAAACTGCAAAATGACAATGCTGAGTATGCCCTTTCATGGCTGAGCACACACCAAGCTTCAGTATTATGAATACAACCCAAATTCACTTGGGCAGGCCAACAGCCATATAATCCTGAATTCTTGCTTCCACTTGTCTGAAGTTACGCAGGACACTGACGGTAAGACAGCCAGAGCTTAAAACCAATATTCAAAAATGGTGCCTGCCCACTACTTGAGCAGCTCCATTTAACAACAGCAAGACAGCATTCAGTAGAACTAAAGTTTTGACTGCAGTGAACTAGATTTTAAGGATGCACAACTGAAGTTTTTATTTTCCCTCTGCTCGAAAATTTCTGATTTACGTCTCCTTTAATTTGCTTAGATTCCAGGCAACATATCAGCGGACCCTTAAAATCTGTAACCAGAAAATACTGTGATGAAAACTACTGATTTTACATCTTAAAGCAATTTTATGATGAGTTCAGCTGGCTACATTTGCTCTCAGCTCTAGATGCAGTACGGCAGTACTAGTTAACCCTGTTAAGAGAGAATCTTTACACATGCCCTTGAGAGCACCCTGACCATACACTTATAAAAGTGTGTGATAGGCCCCAGATTAGCTGTCACTACTCAGAAAAGATAGTACAGTCATCACTACTGGAAACCTCAATGCTTAGCAAGAGGAATATTTCAGAAATTAATACTGAACACCGTTATCTCACCACAGAAATCCACGGTGAACAAACTAAATTCTGCACATAGCTTGAATTGCCTTCCGTCAAAAATCACAGAATCATAGAATTGTCAGGGCTGGAAGGGACCTTAAAGATCGTGCAGTTCCAACCCCCTGCCATGGGCAGGGACATCCCCCACTAGATCCGGCTGCCCAGAGCCCCATCCAGCCTGGCCTGAAAAACTTCCCCCTCTCTGGGCAACCTGTGCCAGGGTCTCACCACGCCCATAGTGCAGAACTTCTTCCTAACGTCCAATCTGAACCGACCCATCTCCAGCTTTAATCCATTCCCTCTAGTCCTACCACTACCCGACAGCCTAACAAGCCCCTCAGCAGCTTTCTTGTAGCTCCCTTGAGATACTGGCAGCCACCATAAGGTCTCCTCGGAGCCTTCTTTTCTGCAGACTGAACAGCCCCAACTCTCTCAGTCTGTCTGCACAGGAGAGGT